CTGGGCAAATTCTAGCATCACAAATGCCAGCAAAGGGACTGGCCTTTTTGTTTTGTTGCTTGAGACAGGGTCTCAAGATGTAGCCCTGGCTTTCCAGGAACTCACTCTGTAGCCTAGGCTGGCCTTGATTTATCTGCCTCTGCCTCCAGAGTGCTGTGATTAAAGGCCAGTGTCACCAGACTCAGCAGGACTTACTTTTAATCTCTATAACCAGAAGATGATTCTGAGCTGGGGAGTATCCTGAAAGGCACTGGGGAAGATGAGACCCCACTGGCTTCCCAAGCCATCATGTACTGATGACCTACTGTGTGCTGGGCACTCTCCCTCAGCCCCTCTAGAGAGCCCAAGAGTTAGCTCTTCCTCTTCTCCCCATCAGAGGTGTGACAAGGCTGGCAGGGGAGAGCAGAAATGAAGCAAGGCATGCTGATTAGAGCAGGAAGCCCTGTTCTGCCATGGTCCTTCACTTTTGCTCCCAGGCGACCTTGACATTTTGCTTCATCTGTTTTCAAAACCACAACTAGGTCTGAACTGAGAGATCCTCTCAGTGAGAAGGCTCTCAAAATCTGGTTCTTCACAGGTCTGGGCCACAATTTCACATCCTCCATGGGGAACAGAGGGCGTGAGTTGGAGGGACACCCTTTCATGTCCATTGGCTCATGAGGAGCAAACTGCCACACAGATATCCCACTCACACACCTATGCTTGCCTCCTCTACGATGCCAGGGACTCTGGGGACTATTACGTAGACGCACATAAGAGAAACCATGTTGCAGTGGATTTAGAAGCCTCCTAGAGTATCAATGCCTGGGATGTTTCCCTGATATTCTTCAGTTCCTAGAACTTCATTGGCTAGGATCAGGGAGTAGGACAAAGGAGTAGCCTGTCTCTAAACGAGCAGGCCCTGGTCCGTGGGGACCCAACAGAATCACTAGCAGCTCAAGCCAACCTCTCAGTGTGGGTGCCATGGGACATTCAAAGGAGAGCATGCCCAGCCTCAGATGTTGTCACCTTGCCCTCAGTGACTAGAATGCTGAACAGGAGCATGTCCACATGTTCTGTAGCCCTCAGGAATGAATGCTAGCTGTTGGTTCCCCTGCACTGTCCCAATACGCCAATATGTTGGAAAAGAGGAGGGCAGCCACTCATGTCCACCTGCTTGGTGTAGGAGGCTGAACCATCACTGTGAAGCCCATATCAACAACACACACACTCAGGTCTACCTCAAACTCCCCCCCCCCCCCATACCTGTCTCTTTAATCCCCTGGCTGCTCTCTTGGTTGAAAATGCTGTTCAACCAGGAAGCTCCAGGCTGCTGGGTCCTTTCAGAGTCAATGCCAAGATAAAGCTGCTGCCCTAAACCAAGGAGCTACACTGCCCTCCAGTGGGCTAAGTGTGAAAGCAGCTCAGTGCAGAAGCCTAGAGGCCAGATTGCTACAGGTGAGGCAGGAAGGGAGCTATCTTGCTAGTCTTGTCACTATCATCTATTTGGGACCAGGTCCTGGGTCAGGGTGGACCAAAGCTGGCTACCATAGTGGATGTTGGGACTCAACCCTGCTTCAGACTCCAGAGGCAGATGAAATTTCTGACTGAGGTTCAAGAGCACTGGGTCTTTCTTTTTCTACCAGCCACAGTTGTCATCTGCTGGGTAGGTAGGGCAGCTGCTGGGTATTGTCACTCCTATACTTGGGTCCAGGAGGGTCCTATGGCCATCACAATACAAAACACTGATGGTCCTGGACAGGTTGGTATCCAACCCTATCCACTGACTACACCAAGCAAAAAAACTGCTGGAAACAGCTTGCCACCCATTCAGGCCACCGTTCACCCTTGCATCTCAACTGAAAGGAAACCCCAGCCACTACCAAGTACATCCAATTCCCTTCCTACCCCGTGTGTCAGTCCCGAGGACCACCGAGATGCAGGTGGTAACAAGTTATTGTTGCTAAGTTTTCATTTTGATCAGCTAAAATGACAAAACATGCCATATATGTGGAAATGTGTAAGTGCATGTGTAAGACACTGACAAGAAAATATAGAGGATATAATCTGTCTAGGAACCTGGGGTGGGGTGTTACTGACCTCTCCAGGACAAGCACAGAGAAAAACCAGACATTTAGGTTCTGTGGTCAACTCTTGAGCTTTGTGCGATCACAGGGAGCCTCCAGGCAGCGTGAATGCAGGGAGGTAGACCGTGGAGGCGGTACCTTCCAGGCCTTAGCAAGACAGTCTCCACCTCTAAGTGCTGAGTGGAAGGAGGCATGTGGGGAAGAAAAAGAATCTTACCATGAGAAAAAACTGATGGCCACACATGGTAGAGAGCAGAATGTGAGTACAATGTGTCCAGACCACTCCAGAGGTCTTTCTAGGAGTTAAATTTAGATGAAGCAGCTGGGCTTTGGAAGTAATGTCTCCTGGGAGACTCTTACTTACCTTGTTCCCAATGGTCAGGAAAGGGCAGCAGCTAAGAGAGATGGTTTGCAGAGGGAGGCAGGAGCAATGCAAAGGCAGTATCATCCTGTCCTCTTCCTCTATGGGATCTCATTGGCATCTGTGGGATCCCTAGGACTTGGGATGACTGCAGCCCTTGGGGTTTCCATGATCATGAGATCTTCTAGTCCTTGCAGGCTAGGATGGAAGTAGCATGGGGTCAACCTGCACCTGGAAGACTGCAAAGATTTGATGGACTACGAGCTTCAGCTGACCTTTTGTAGGCATAATTGCCCTGCAGATGAGGGCAGTGTGATGCTGTTATTCTAAAAAGTGTCTCTGGTAAGAGCAGGTCCCTTGCACCACTGCCTGAGAATGGAGAGTTACTGACAAGGCTAAATTGTTGGCAGGGTTGTACACACAGGCGAGAAGTCATCTCTGGTGCCACTAAGTACTAGGCCTCACAGGTCTCACCTTCACCAGTGGCTGGCGTTTGGATCTTCCTGCCAAGCAGCTCATCTTTAAGTGCTGATGATAAAGGAACAAAACCAAAGACATATCTACACCTCAAATGTTAGGGATAGTGCAATGACACTGAACATGGAAAGGAAGGATGATGGGACATGATCATCAGCTGCAGAGGGGCAAGGCATGGGGAAGCTGGATGGCTGGTGCATCACCTCGAGGACGGAAAGAGTGTGACTTAACTGTTTCCTGTCCAGTCTTCAACAAAACGTGTGCTTGTGTCTCTCGATGGGACTCCCCAGTGACATAATGTGATTGCCTAAAGGACATCACAAGGCAGTTTCTCAAAAATTTTATTTTAATTTAAATTACAGGGCCAGCCAGATATCTGATAAGAAATTCACTTTTCCTTAGGAGAAAGGAAACACTTCCATGTCATTAACAATTGTATACATCTCCCACTTTTTTTAAAGGGTTAAAAAAAAAATCACATTGAGTAACTGCCTTAAGCAAAATTAAACCTTTATAACATCAAAGAAACCACACCCAGGATAATCGTTTTGGTAGTAGGAACCTAGTAAATGATCACACATCAAATGCAACTTTCCAATTTTGAATGTTTTCACATTGTTCTGTTTAGAAACAGCCGAGAAGTCCTCTGTGCCTCCAGCTCCTGATGCATTGGTAACACACATTTCTCTTCCACTTCCTCATGTTTGCCCAGATGGAAGCTGTTTGCTGTCTGAGGCTCTAAGAGCAAGCTTGGCAAGGAGACCCAGCCAGGTGTAATGACTGCTGTCCACTAAATCCTGCCTGATTCACAGCATTGGACAAGGGCTGGGTCTGCTCAGCTGAGCCTGCCTCCCTGCTGAGGATTTCCTCCTTCAGGAGACTGAATGCTTTCCCTACTTCTAGGGAACATGAATTCTCCCTCTCCCCCCCACCCCATCTCACATAACCCCCAGCGGAAAGGGCCTTGGAAACTCTTCATTTAAATGAAATAGAACACACCTGTATCTTCTGGAGTGGTTTTTCTGGCTTGTGTTTCTTGGAAGGAAACCTTAAAACCCACTCAAAACACCAGATGGGAGGCTCCTTTTACTGGCCAATGAATCATTCAGTTAGTAAGAGAGGCTAGCAAAGAATAATTATGTCATGTTTTAGTCAGCTACAGCCATGCTGAGTTGGATGGGGCAAACTCTGATTTTTTTGTTAGCTGTGATCTGTGTCACTGAGACAAACAGACACCATTCTAGTAACTTTATGTAGATACAGTTTAGGAGATATTGTTCTGCTGTGGTCACAGTCACAAAAAGTGGTGCAAAATCAGTTGCTTTATAAATACTGATAACTTGCAGCATAAGGAAAAGGACATTAAAAACAATCAATTTCCCCAGGGGACATCTAGGACTAGGGCTCTTCTTTTCCTAAGAGAAGCCAAAGTTTTAATTACTCAGTTTCCTGACTACTGTACTGGGTATCAACTTACTCTAAGAAAGGTGCTCTACAGAGGCCCCAACCCACAAAGAATCAAGAATCAGCATTATTAGCATAATCTGTGTCATTCATAGATATGGCAATCTTAGGACTCATTTTAAATGAGTAAGGCCAATATTCTGCAAGTCCATGTGGCGGCGGACTGAGTTCCGCCTACCAACGGCACCCCATTGGGTACTGAACCCAATGAATTGGTTCTTTTTGTTTTAGTGCTGTGATCCTTAATGTTAAAATCAGCATTTTCATGTGATCTCAAGTATTTCAATTACATATGAGCATTTTTTTTTTTTTTTTTTTGCAAAACTCAGGTAATAGTTACATACTACTACAATAACATTCCTCTGCTGTACAAATTAAACGATTTAAAAGAAATGAGCATTCTAAGAATTATATACAAAAGAAACCTGTGAGCAGTGTTGAAATGAAACGTAAGGTGTCTGCTAGCTCTACTGTTTTAAAATACCTTCAAAAGTAAAATTAACAAATACCCTTCAACACATCCAGGTTCACAAGTCTCAAGAAAATCAAATGTCAAAAAGTTCTAGAAAGCTGTGAAAAGCATATATACACTTTCCTTATGACCTCACGAAGCGCCACACTTGAGAAGTTGCTAAGTTTCAGTATCAATTTATTTGCACGTCAACTTTATCCTCCCCCAAAGCTCACTCTGGATACAGTTCCCCTCTGATCTCCAAAATAATCCCTGTATACGCCACGTTCCTTTGGTGACGGTGGATGATCTGGCTCTGGGATGTCAAGTGTACCCGTGCCATACTGCAGAGATCTGCAAAGAGCAGTGCCAATGTACAGGTATCAGCTGATGTCGTCAACATCTTTTCCCTAGTCCACTCTCATCGTACATTTGCCTTCGAGAATCCAGCCACATTCAGAACTCATGCAGCAAATGGGGTCTGTGAGTTCTGAAATGACACAGATCAAGGGAAAGACCCACGTGCGCTCTAATGTGCAAGCAGCAGCTACGTTCTCCAACCTGGACTGAAAAACAAAAGGTAAAATGAAAACCGTTCACTTAACAGCAGATTAGCAGTAATGTTCCTCATGAATCATAAGAGTGCCTGATGCTGAGTAGCTAACAGCAAGTGCTGAAGTTGGATGGGATATCGTAGGTGTTTATTGGAAATTAGGCTTCTTGCTGAGCTGGTCTCTTCAAATCCCTGATCTGTTTGACTAAATAGGTCTTCTCATCATTGAACTGCTCGTCCTCCGTCCTGTCGTTTTGAAACTTGCTGAGGAACTCAATGAGTTTGGTCTGGTTCTTGAGGAGGATATCTAGGATGGGCTGTGTCTTGTTGGGGTTGGCCACAAACACCTGCATAAAAGGAAACCACGTAGGTCAGAAAAGCAGTCAATGTCAATGTCCACCCAACAAGCTCCTGGGCAGACAGGACCTTTACCTGGGCAGGTAACTGGCTTTTTTTTTTTTTTTTTGCTTTACAAGAGCTTACTTTTACATGATAGGGAGAAATAATAATGATTACAAGCTTTAGCACAAAGCCTGCCAAGCTCATTCTACCAACTCTGGAACAGAGTAGTTAGGACTAAATACTGATTTTAGAATCAAATGACTGATTCCTGGGCACAGAAGGTCAGATTAGGTCTTAAGAAGATACCCCACCCGACCCCACACCTCTGCTAAGCATTACAAAGTACTTCTGACCTTCACGTTCTCACTTAAGCAGCTGCAGATAGCCTAGATGGGGTGAGCCGGGGAGGAGGATAGCAAGGGAGCTGCTGCCCCTGAGTAACCCTGTGTGCACACTGAAGATAATGAGGCTCATCTCTGACTGTGCTTTCTTATTCTCAGGTCCAAATGTCCCACCCATTTCCAGGTCCCCACTTCCGTTCAAACACTCTGACTGAACTGAGCACCATGTGGGTTACGGGGACCAGGCAGTAATAGTAACTGAAACAAACGGTTCTGGAGGAAAGCACTATCAGTGCAGCCCACCTTGAACACGTGAAAGGCCTCAAACTGGATGTTTCGGCTCTTGTCTCGGAGAAGGTTCATCATTAACTTGAGGTTCTCAGGTTTACTGATGTACTTCGTCATAATCGTGAAGTTGTGTCTATCTAACAGCAGTTCACCGAGAAGCTGAGAACACATTTAGAACATGACATTATTAAGACTTCAAGCCAAGAACAAATAAACAACAAACCCATTTTATAGTCATTGTGAGACTAGAAACTGGTTTGAAAAAAACAGTAACAAAAATGAAAATGAACAACAATAAATAACCACTACCCAAGAAAGTGGTCAGAAGAAAAGGTACTAGGAATTTCTGTTCACTAATCTCAACTAAGTTCCCCCCACGTGTTTTAAATTATACTTAGCAGGACTTTCCAAGATGAAGCACTCTCACACCTGGGTCACAAAGCTGTACGTTCAAGACAATCCTGACTGTTAGGGAGCCACAGCAGGGAGCTGAAACCACTTCTGCCTGTCTTATATTCTGCTTCCTGATATCCCATAGAAACTCACAATGTGCAAATGGCTAGCTACTGCTCAGTTCAGATTTTCCTCCAAGTTGCTCTCGTACTGAGCTCTAGCTGAGGTCCAGTGTGTTCAGTGTGTCAGCGATGTATCTACTAGGAGCAGGCATCCATCAGCAGCATCCTTGTGGATAGCAAGGCAGACAGTCAGGGCATGTCCTGTGCCAGTCTGCCTGTGTTCAGATATGTAACCTTGAGTGTTACTTGCCTTCTCTGTGAGAAACTCAAGTGTGAGCATATGGAAATATAAGCAGGTGCTGGGTCCCAGCGGAGCTCTAGTATTTGACATTTCTAAACAACTGACCTCTAGGCAAATAGCTTCTCATCATACAAAAACAAACACCAAAAGCAAGACTCAAAACCTGTGGGGCTTCAGGCCTGGCTCAGTGGTTATGTAAGAACACTTGCTGTTCTTGCGGAGGTTCCTCTCACCCGGATGGGCTGCTCATGTCTGTAACCAAAGCTCCAGAAGGATTTCACATGCTCTCTTGGCCTCCTCCAGCACCCCCACTCATATCTCACCACCCCAATCTATGCTACCTGGGATTCATGAAGAATTTATAAAATATGTTTCAGGCCAGCAAGATGGCTCAATGGATTAAGTCTGACAGCCTGAATTCAGTCCTCAAGACCCACGTGGTGGAAAGAGACCTGACTCCCTAACTTGTCCTCTAACCTCTCCATGTGCCCCACATAAAGTAAGTGCAATGTAATAATTCTTTTCTTTTTTTCCCAAGAGAGGATTTCTCTGTGTAACAGTCCTGAACCCCACTCTGTAGAGCAGGCTGGCCTTGGACATTTCCTGCCTCTGCCTCCTTAGTTCTGGGATTGAAGGCATGTACTAGCAATGTAGTAACTTTCATGATTAAAAACTAACTTCAGGCCTCATGTCACTCTGAAGCATATAACTACTACTTTTTAAGAAAAGAAGTGGCCTGCTTGCATTCTAGGAAGACTCAAAAGTGGGTGCGCTATGGGGTGCACCTCTCACTGTGTCCATCCTCTACTGCAGAACTAAAGGCATTCTGAAGAAAGACTGGCTTCAGCCAAGTCACCCAAAAGATGACTGTGAACTCAAAGTATCTGGACAATGAAAATTAAGTTCTACTCAGGGACATAAAGTTGCTGCCAGCAGGGAAGGAATGGTATCTCATCAATACAAGATCAGATATTTTTGAGGAATTCTGAGCAAAGTGGAATTTTAAAATATATCCAGTAAAACATTTAAACAAGATTCTAAATCCTTGCAATCCTACCCCAATTCCTGTAGAGCTACTTCCTGAAAGAATTTAATGTGTTGCTCCATATTTAATAACCACTGTAAGAACACACAGAGGCCAGACAAGGTCAGACAACACACATTTTAAACTTTGTAGGCCATATGGCCTCTGTGACAACCACTCAAATCAGCTGGTACAGCTTCAAACAGGCAAAGATGAGGTATAAAAGTCTTGCAATCCTATAAAACTTTACTTATAAAACCAATCAGTTGGCTGAGTTTGGATTCTAGGCTGCAGTTTGCCAGCTGCATGTGTGGTTTACATGCATGCTCATGTATGTATATAGGCATATGGATGGATAGGTGTGTGTGTGGGTGCTCATGTGTTTAGGCTGAAGATCAATACTTATCTCTTCCTTAGTCACTTTCCCACTTGCAATATTGAGGCAGAATGTCTTTCTTGAACCTTGAGTTTGTTGGTTTAGTGTAGCAAGCCAGCTTGATCCTAGGATCCTGTCTCTACCACCCAAGCACAGGTTGACTGCCACAGCTGCCCAGCGTTCATGTGGGTGCTGGGGATCTGACTCCAATCCTCATGTATGCATAGCAAGTACTTGGTCCACTGAGCTACATCACCAACTCCTTAGTTTGCCAAAGTTTGCTCTAGACTTTCAATCTCATATTTAGCATGTCTAAGGTTCAAGTGGGGTTGTTCATACTCTGTGTTGATAAAAGCGGGCAGAGCTGTGCAGTTCAGTTTCAGGGCTCACATGCTGGTCCCCAACCCTTCTGCCAATCTGGACATGGGATATTTTATCTAGTTGGCTTGAATCCATTATGTTTCTGCAAGGCATGATGGTTTGTGTTTGTCATTTCACTGGGAAATTCAGACAGGATGATTCAAGCCCAACTTTAGCTAGATAGCAAGATCCTGTCTCAAAACCAAAACTGAAACCAAAACCAACAAAAATTTCTTTTCTTTGGGGGTTTTTCAAGGCAGGGTTTCATTATGTAGCCTTGGTTGTCCTGGAATTCAGAGAGAGATCCACCTGACTCTAACTCTGAAGTGTAAAGGCACATGCCACCAATGGCCAGCCCAATAAAAATTTCAATCCTTATAAAAATATTTCAGAATTAAAATATTGCACTGTTAGGAAATGAAGCATCATTCCATCTCCCGTTATATTCTCTTTTGATGTCTCTACCTTACATATGGGAATTTGCCCCAAACAAACCACTAATGGACCCCAAACTCGTGGGTATTTACCCTATACAGGTCACTAGTAAACTCCAAACTCTGAAAATGCCTGACTACCTCAAATCGCAAATGTATTTTCTCCTAAAGTTCTACAACCAACATCGGCATGTACCCACCCGATTCTCCAAATTCAAGTTGCAAATGTACGATGAAGAGAAGAAATGACATATGAAAGATAATTTGCCATACCTTCAGTGACTGTCTCTTTGTCACATAATTTTCTGAATGAAGTAACTTCTCATATTCACTGAAAAACTGAGAACAGAAAACATATATTAGGGTTAAGGAAAAGGAGGCTAGATAACATTATAAAGTTCAGGGGCAGACTTTGAACACCAACAAAGGCCTGTGCTCTTTGCCACCTCAATGCAGGAAGCTCCTGGGACTGGTCCCCTCCAGGCTCCAGCCAGATCCAGAGACAAAGCCCCTCTCTGTACCCTAAATCATCTGCCTAAAGCATTAGCACCTTCTCACAGTTTCCACACTAATTTCTTGGTGTTAGACTACAAAATCCCTACTTATTTTATATACAGGAACTCAATTCGGTCTAAACAACAAAGATAAAAATGAACCCATCTTTCAAGGTGTATCAAGCAAGGAGAGAAAATAAAGTTGAGGAGAAACCCAGTAGTGCTATGCAGAGAGAGAACTGGATTCCAAGTGTGAAGGGGAGAGAGCAACATTAGATATGGGGAGGTGAAAAGATATTCCTGAAAGAAATATAAGGAAGTCATCACTTGAGAAACTTGGATAGTGCAAAGCTGCAAATCAGAGCTGATAAGTGGCAACACTAACAAGAACATGTCACCAGCCAACACATGAAAGCCAGGCAATCTGACTCCCCTTCAAGAATGTCAATAGATGATTCTGAGCAACTAGTACACATCTTTTGGATTTTTAATTAATTGTTCCCATGCTTTAGTCATTAAAAGAAATCATGTACTTTTTCATTAGGACTTCCCTCAGATCTGACCATACTTTACACATTCCTGTTAGTTGTCTCATCAACATCTTTCTAAAATCTTGTTAGGTGATGTCACATCCACAAAGAATATGTAGGAAACTATTTTACTTGTACATTAAAACAGACTTTATTGCCTATAGTAAATTTCTTTAAATAAGGTAGTCTGTGTGGGGAGGCTTTAAATTAAGATAGTAACATTAGAAAGTTTGAGGCCTTGTGGCAATAAAATAGGTAACAATTACTACTAACTGCTTGCTATGCTTTAGCACTAGCTCTGTGAGCTTTAGCATCAGAAGGCCACACACTCCACACCTCTTATTGGTAGGTGCAGGCTACTCCTGAGGTTAAAGAAGTCACAAAGAGTGAAGAAAGCAGTTGCTTTTTGTCTTATTAGCACTTGAAACTAGATCCAGGCAGTTTCATGTTACAGCACTGTCTTCAGCCTTCTTGATGCTGCAGCCCTTTAATACAGTTCCTCATGCTGTGGTGACCTCTAACCACATAATTATTTTGTTGCGATTTCGTAACTGTAATTTTCCCACTGTTATCAATCATAATGTAAATATCTGACATGCAAGATATGTGGAAACCTACAGGTTGAGGACCTCCGTGTTAAGCCTGTGAGGCCTTCAAACCAAACACACACAAAAGGAAATACCCATGTCCAAATACTCACTGCAGAATTAAAGTGCTGTCAATGTTTAAGCCATTTATGAGGCTGCTCACTTAGCCTATAGTCTATGATGATGGTGGGAGACAGGGAAGACAAGCACAAAGGACACATGAGGAAGCACAGATTCTGTCTCTAAAAACTGTATAATGCACAACAGGCAAGCAAACGATAAACGATCAACGATATTTAAGACAATGAGTTAAACTACCAGTAGGACATTTATTCTAAGTTCTCTAAATGTGCCTATCAGGTCTTGGGCAGTGTGTGGGAACTACCGTGGCACAGTGATGAGCAGGTGTCAACACAGGCTCCGAAGCCCTGGAGAAGCGGCGTGGCTGAGGGCAGTGGGCCTTCCAAGCACCTGGGACCACTGACAGCTCTCTGAGGTCACAGGGCTGGGCTTGACCAACACTGGCAGAGCTGGAAGCAATGTCCTCATCTTATGAACAGGAGGGTCTCTAAGCCCCGGGCAGTAAGTGCCTTGGCCATGGCTATAAAGAGTAAGCAGAGGCAGGAGCAAAGCTGCAGTCCTGCCTACTCCAGGCCAGTGCTGCTCACAGCCCATCAGCTGCTGTGTCTGTCAGTATACAGCAACTGATGAAAAAGGAAGAAAAAGGGGGAGGGACAGACTAAATTCTCTTCGCATCTTAATTAGATTGTCATTCAGGAAAAACCCGACCATTTCCCTCTTCTAAAATAAGAAAACATGCAAGGGGCAACTATTAATCAAGATCAAATTTTGCTTGAGACTAGTACTCTATGTTGTTTCAGTAAAGAAGTAATCATAGTACCATTTACAAATACCATAAAGTCAAATATTCTGATACAAAACCTACCTTAAACCTCCATTTAAGTTAATTTCATTTCTGTTAAAAGAACGTGACAAATGTTCCTTAAAATATTTCACATACTTACTCTATCATAATGCTGTTCCAAAAATTCTGCACTGAGCAATTTATGCCTTGTGAGTAAATCCTAGGAAAAGAAAAAGATGTATTGTTATGGTGGTTCTCCATTAAATCTTAGGAAAAGAGAATTCAAAATATTCTGTGCCAAACAAAATGCCTGATAAGCTGCTGTTAAATATCAGCAGACAGTACTTAATATTTCATTATGAATTTTACTCAGGACCATAATAAAGCTAGCCTCCCTGGGTCAGAACTTCCGTCAGGGAATAAGGTAGCTTGGATCTGTCTGGTATTTAGCCAGTCTGACTAAGTACCAGACATATATCCTTGAACATATATAGTCTTGCCTATGGGTCACGTTCTATTCACTATTCGGAGCCTCTCATGAGTTCTCCCTTTCTGTGTATCCAGGAACACTGGGATCTAGAGCTACACTGGCTCAGAGCTGTCTTCTGGAGCGATTCATCCTCTGAATACTGAGTAGTTTTTGAAATGCATTTTTTCTTCAAGGAGAGATCACCTGCCTGGCTCTCCCAGATCCTCCCCTTTCTTGCTACCATAACCTGACAGGATCATGTTACCCACAGTGGCTCCAACACCACCATCTTCTCCTTGGGGAGAGTTAAATGGAAGAAGCACCCCTAGCTGAGATGAAATTACCAGCAAGGCCACACAAGACCATCAGATATCACATTCCTGGCATGTAGCCAGCACATATCTCTCACCTTGGTGCCAGTTTGGCCATTTGTGCCAGGAGCATGTTATCCATGTCCTCCACGTGGTCAGGGGGCTCCCACACCATTGCTGCTCCTCAATACTCTTCCCTCACCCTCCTGTGCCCAGAGTGCTGACACTATCTGAGTCCTGGCTGTCTTTGCACACAGGGTACTCTCCTTGACATAAGCGCTACTACAGCTCCCTTCATGCCAGGTTGCTGTTCCTGAATGGAGCATTCCCTCCCATCGATGCATTCCAATCACAAGCCCTATCCCACCACTTCAGTGACAGCTAAGACATCACAGCGGTCACTCTATGTTATGATCGCAAATTCATTTCACTTTGCTTTGTACATGACAGTTACATATATGCATGTGAGGTCTCACCTAAAGCTTCTGTGGAACTTGTATTGATTCTGGGATATAAATCCTTGGCACTGCTCACACTGTGACATTCTTCTCAGGCAGGGTGAAAACGTACTGGCCAGTCCCCAGGTCCTCATCCTGTCCTAATATATTCAGCACCCTCACATATGTACTTTACCCAAAGACCAAGTCCTTACCCCAGAGGCTCCTTAGTAAAAGCTAAGCTCTTACAAGGAAAGAAAGCTCTTCTCACAGTGTAAGTGTTCACTGCTTCTGAGTGTGAGTGAGCTACATGTAAGTATTAAGGTCATTTAAGGGAATGTAAATCAAGACTTAGTCTCACTGGAGAAAAAAATACAAGACTGCTGCTTCGTTTATATATCATAAACAGAAGCTTACAACTAAAGAAACTAGTGGTCATACATGCACTCAGTATATACAACTCCACAGGGAGGTAAGTTAGGAGAGGGGGAGGGGACGCAGGAGGGATGATCCCGTTTCTCTGCAGTGACTCAGTTATGCCCATGCCTGGGGCATGTCAACAAGTTTCTTCATACTGAATGTGGTTCTTGCATTTAATAATATATATTCCAAAAATATATATTCCAAAAATTGAGCAGAGGCCAATTACATCTCCATGTCTAGTGCTAACCAAAGGAATGCTGCAGAATACCCCATCACAAGAGAAAGCCTGGTTGTTAGGTATTCTGAATGTTATCGTTGCCATACTTAGAGAATAATTTAACAGGAAAGCACAATTTTGACCTAAGAGGACTTTTGCCTTTCTGATAAGATATGAGAATTTAATTCTCCCACGCTTTTAGGGTGTGTGTTTGGGGGCGGGGGAGTTTACTACAGATACCTAAAACATACCAAAGCATATAAAATGCATCTTTTTTATTCCCACTAGAGGGCAGTCATGTATAGAGTTGCAGAGGAGACACATGGGGAAACTGCAAACCTGGTCTGATTTGCAGAGTGTATTTAAAATTCAAGTCTTTAAATGTTACCTTGAACGTAGCAAATGCATCTGAAGCTATGTCAAATGTTGACATTTCAACATATCTGAAGAAATCATAAAACTGTTCCGACCATAATATGATTTTTGCAAGTGGTTCATGTCTGATGCACTCTCTTAACATTATTCCACAATTAAGAGCTATTTCTGGAGATTCATACCTGTAAAAACAAAACAAAACAAATAAAAGCCATGTATGATTGCTCTTTCAAAACAGCAAAAATGAGCACTTCAAACTTTCTCAACAGAAGTTTCACACACTCCTAAGTGACCACAGCAGGTTACAAAAGGTACTTCTCTCAAGAGTACATAGCAAAGTCACTACATGTGGCACCTACAGCTGTTCGCAGAGATGGACAGCTACCTGCAATTAAGAAAATCAGTTATGGCAGGGACCACAAGAACAGAAGTTGTGTTTGAAAAAGAAGTGCTAGGGTCATAGGTCAGCTATCCATGAGCTTTTTTTTTTTTTTTTAACCCACTGTGTTCACAACAACCAGAACAACAACAACAACAACAACAAAAACAAAAAACAAAACAGAAGAGTAATAGAGAATTTAGAGAATTCCCTTTCCAAATTCAGGAATTCAGTAGAAACAGTATAAACACAGGTCTATCAAAGATACAGCATTTTATGCATCACTGTTTCAACACTCACAACAGTACTTCCAGACTCTTGGAAACATGTAAATCCCATAAAACTGTAAGCCTCATTCTAAGGATTTTACAGAGCATCTCCACCACAGAGAACCTGGGCCCCTGAGGCCCTGGAGCCTTCTCACCAACTCTCCAAACACAGCCTTTTCCTCTGTTCTCAGCACCACATCAGCATCTCTTCCCTTGTGATCAGAAAGAAAACCTCACAGTGAGTAGAGTAGGGGCCATCCCCTTCTCAAAGCACACTGCCTTTCACAGGCTGACACCTGCTACACACATTGGCTCTATTTCTTTCCCACAGGGTTTTTTTTTTTTTTTTTTTTTTGGTAGTCAAACAACATTTTCCAATACTCTAGTGACTTCCTCTTGGCTAAAACAGAACTAACCAATATCCATCTAAGTAATGTTCTGATGGTGCTGACTTTTGCTAGTCTATCTTTTGTCTTTCTCTTTTTGGTTCTGGTGATCAAATCCAAATGCTGGGTAAGTATTCCATCACTGGGCTACACCCTACCCAGTACTATCCCTTTCTTAAAAAATAGGGAAGAGAAAACTCCTCCCAGTTCTCCTTTTTATCTCCCTGGTGGTTCCCCTTTCTTCCTTCTGAGGTCTTCACCTGCTAAGGAGAGCCCACAATCTCACGGCCCCCACCACTGTGACTGAGTTTCCTTCCCTCCTTCCACTCTGAGTGGTGGTTGGGTATTTTCCAATGTCTCTGAGAGCCTCAAGTAAAGGTCTACATAAGCCAAACATATCTAACATGATCTCTCATCCCTCCACTCCAAAGCCAGACCCAGTGCCCCTGCCTACTCAGGTCTGCATTTTAGCAGCACTGCTTAGTCTTCGATGTCAGGTCTAACAGACCTTCCATGACGGTGGGATGTTTTGTACACATGCTGCCCATTATGTCGGTTTCTAAGCCACTGGTGGTTATTGAACATTTGAAATGTGACTAGTGCAAATGAGGGATGGGATAGCCATAATTTAAAATTAAGTCACTATATATGGTTAGTAATTATTAGACAATACAGCTCAAAAATTCCTTCTTCCTATCCTAGCTCCAAATCTTCAACTTTCTATGTTTGGAATCATCTGGGCCTTTTCCTATTTCTTTTGAAGTCTTAGTTTTTTGACTTCTTTCTATCTATTCCCACTGCTGTTAACTCATTAAGAACTGCAAATGTGTTATATTAGCACATTTGCTTAAGCTCTGTCTTAAAACATCTACCCAACAAACAAATTTACCACCAGCATTTATTTCTGAGTTAGCAGTCTAAAACTACAGCTAAACAAACAGACTTATGTCTGATTTTTCCCTTATTAGATCTACTTACTGCTCTGGGACAAACCATCTCCTAGCCTGGCATAAAATGGCTGCTGATCACATGGTATTCATTCCTGCCCTGGACCTTTACACCAGTGACATGCCATCAGGATGCTTTCTTCTTCTGTCTACATAAGTTCTCAGTTCTCTGTAACTCCTATTGTAAGATCCTTTCCTTTTACCGACCCTTGCAAACCCACTTACCCTCTGAAATCCTGTAGTCTTAACATGTTGCCTAGCAGCACTAACCTTGTCCTTTCATTGTACATATGCTCAACAGAGCAGGACTACACTCCTCTGCCTCCCTGAGGGCATGGCACTCAGCATGCAGACTGGCTTATTTGATTAAAATTTCTGTTTACAAGGTAGCTGATCACACTATTAATCTTTCTTATCTCTGGTAAACAGGAGACTAGCAGGGCAAGTGTTAAGGCAGTCTGGTACAAGTTTGGCAGGTCTTAATGGGAGTTTGTCAAGCTTTTCTCAATGATTAAACCATAAGCCAGTGAGTACAAGGCAAACAGTTACACCTGTACAACCTACTCACACTAGGTTAATGGAGATCACATTAGATCCAGTAAAATTCTACTGTTTTCCAAATCCAGGCCAATGCCAGTACTTCCCATATGCACACTAGAATTAGCAGCACAACCAGCCAATGACAGACTATCTTAAAAGGTGGCTTACATACAGTGCTTCTTAAAGCATGCTACAGGTCAGACAGGAATCATATAAAATGAGTGAGGTATCAGAAAGAAAAGAAGCCATCACAGGACAATTGGGTTGTGCCAAAAGAACAAAGGAGCCAACCAAAGGCACAAAGTGGCCTAAGATGGGACAACTTAAATTTAAAAAAGTAATGTTTACATGTCTGTGATGGTTAATATACTGAACATCAACTCAAAAAGAATAAGAATCCGCTAAGAGGCCAGCCTCTCAGCACGCCTGTGAGGAATAATGTAGACTAGGTTAGCCTCTGGGCATGCTTGTGAGGGAGTATCTTGAGTATGTGAGATGGGAAGACTGCCACTGCACGAGCTAGGCATTCAGTCTTGGACAAAATAAAAGGTGAAAGTGAGCTGTGCACCAGCATTCATCACTTTCTGGCTGTGGTGCAATGTGACCACTGCTCCAAGCTCCTTCCACTGTGGCTTCCCACTATACTCAACTGCGATTACAAAGTCAAACCCTTCCTTTAGTTGCTTCTGTTGGGATTATTTTACTATAGCAACAGGAAAAGTAACTAATACAACACCCAATATCTGAGTTAATAACAATGCTTAAACAATATATTCAATGCTTATCCAAGTTACTGGCTAGAGCACCAACAAATTAAAATAATGGCACTGGCTTTCCCCATACAGATTCTATCTGGAAACATCAAAGTTCGTCAGCTTTATGGAAGAAAAAACATTTAATTAGAAGCAATACCAAAATCTAAGTGAACTCTCATTTATTTATTTATTTACTTATTAATTGACTGATTGGAGGCAGGGACTAGCTATATAGCACTGAATAGCATCAAACTCATGAAGATCTACCTTCCTCTGCCTCCCACATGCTATGATTAAAGTCTGTGACACCACACTGATATTTTAAACTAAGATAATATCCCTGGTATATATAAAAATAGGTGAAAGTATGATAGCAAACTTCAAAATGTACAGACAGATAAGACCTGTACCTAATGATTACCTCTCAACTTCATTTCAGTGGGACAATGGCTAGAAGTAAAACAGGTAGCAGGCACCTTGTTACTGAGTTCATCCCAAGGAACTCATGCATTTCTCATCCAAGGGATGAGAGAGATGGTAAACATGCTAAATAAAACCATAGTAATGTAAATTTAAAATACATAACTAAAATAATTTTCAGAGACACTCAGTCTCACTACAGAGCTCAGGCTAGCCTATTAAACTTTCTATGCAGCAGAACAAAATGACTGTGGTCTTGGAGGGGTTTCCTGCTTTTGCCTCCTAAGTGACAGTATAGTCATGTGTCATCACGCCCTACTAAAGTAAGTAGCTTTCTACAGAACAATTACATACATTTTTAACATGCTTAAAAATTACATACATTTTTAGAAAATGAGGGGATTAACTATTATAGATTAGTAGAAAGCTAAAAGTTTTATCTATAAAATTCAGTTTGTAGACCTTGTTAAAAAATTTTTACACAAACTAATTTTGTTAAAGAAATACAAAAAGCTGGGCACTGGATTGTACCAGGTGTGTAGAAGGTACTGTGGTTGTTATAGCTTGCATGGGTACGCACACTGTATATGCAGGACAGACATGGGCAAACAATGCAGTCAAATTGTGTGTAAGAAAGAAAGAAAGAAAGAATGGCATAAGGTTAATGACTGTGATGAGGGGTGTTGGGTAGGGAAGTTTTGCAGTCTTTTCTTTATGGTGTGCTTAGTTCCCTAATAGACTGTAGTGGAAGGGATATGGGAGAGGATACCAAGTCAAGCTCCAGCCTCAGGCTTTTCCTTCTTGCCTCTGGCTGAGCATTCTGTTCTGACAAGCTCAGATGAGAGCTTTAAATATTAAACTATCCTTCAAAAATCTTATTTTAGACTAGAGTGTCAGCTCACTTTTAATCTTATCATTCAGAAAGAAAACAGAGGTAGCAAGGGTTACAATGAGATCCTAATAGTTTTTTTTTTTTAAATACACTGTCTAAAAAAAATTGACATCAAAGCTGTCGTGAAATAACAAAGTATTAACTAATTTATAGGTTTTAATAAACCTCTGGTTTCATTAATACAGTTCTAAGAACACCCAAATTTCAGGCTATTCACACAGCACGTTTCTAAAGGGACACAGGACTGATATAACAAAAGTTCTGTTCAGCAACACATGAAGAAGCAACACGGATGGGTAGAAACAGAAAGGAGGAAGCAGGATGTTGGCATGTGACATGTCACTGACTCATGCTTTGTCTAAGCAAGTCTGAACTTGGGGAAGTGTTAGACCACAGAGATACAACAAGTCCACATGAGGTAAGCTGTAAACCTATGGGGAGGGGGGAGCAAGCTGCTGGCCCACTGTTGAGCACAACGCTGCCCGTGCTGGGATGACCCGGTGAGCCGGCAAGCATTGCTGATTACCTTGCCAGCCAGGTAGATCATTTCATTTTGTTAAACTTAGATCTTAAGTTTTAAAAATTTTGTTTCTGAAATGGACAACCACATCATGAATGCCTGCTAGCCCAGGAGTAACTTCAGGAAATGCACTGTGCTGACCCCACAGTGCATGCTCTGCTGAATGGAGGTGAGGAGCACGCATGCCCCACTAGGAGGTTCCCACTGCTGTGAGGTGTGCAGGTCAGGTGCAGAGGAGGTATCCTTACACTCACAACTTGGCTGGGATTTCAATGGACTTCAACTGTTTCAATCTTACAGACAAAAATAAGACTCTATTTCTTTCCTAAGGGGTCACAATTCACCCCATTTTAAGTTTACATCTACAGGGCATGTTTGTGTTAGTGTAGCTTACAGGTCAAAACATTAAAAGGGCAGTATGTTTAAGAGCTACAGAAAAGTAAGATTAAAAAAAAAAAACTATAGAGAAAATCTTCCCATATTCACCAGCCTGTTTATCTTTCCCCACCCAAGCAATTTTTCCTTTTTATTTTCAACTAAGAATATAAACTTTATCACATTGTACATACCCTTTCAATAACATGAACAAAATATTCTGTTGGGTGCAGATGTATTCAACAGTAGGAGTTCTTGTACCAATTTGTCTTCTGAGAATATTGTTGAAAATTTGAGCCACGTCTTTTTTGCCCTATTAGGAATACAATCATTAAAATATTTACCTGTCTAAATATTAAAATGTCCATCCACCCTTCAATATAAAGTCAAAGAGCCATTGTGTATTAGTCAAGACTGAGTATCTGACTTTACAACATTTGTAGACATGAAAATTCTTATTTTATCTAGTTATAAACCCAAATTTTTGGTTTTAATAGTGTATACTTTTTAAACACAACTTTATCAACGAAGTGAAATCTCATCACAATCCAAAAAGTGTTTCAACCACCACTAATACTCAGAAGCACACTCAGTATGGAAAGCAGATGTGGACAGCACACTTACCACCTATAGAGGTATGAACCTACATAAGTGGATATTTCTGTTGTGAATAATAGCGTGTATACTTTCTTTTACAGAAAAGGGAAGAGATTGTATTCTGGGTGTAATGATGTCAGAGAATTCTATAAAAAGCTGAGCTTTAATAGCAGGCAGATAAACTCTTCTATTAAACTATGTCACATAGGAAAAACTTAAAATATATTAATAACAAAAGCACTAAGTGTCACGATACAGTAGTTCAGAGATGAGAACTTTACAAACACCACTGCACAAAACAGACAGACTATCTACTGAACCTTAACAAATCAGGAAGCTGCCTAAGAAATTAATAAAGGAGAACTGACTGGCCCCCAAGAAATATTTCAGAACAGCCACTGTCACAAGGCTAAGGAAGCCCAGAGAGCATTGAAGCCCATAGACAGATCATCCGGGAGCCTGTGTTAGCTCAGGTGCAGTAATCAAATCCAAATCAGCCCCATGGCACACACTTAAAAAAAAAAAACCAAACCAAACCAAACAAAAAACCCCTGATGCCTCTAAAGTCTCAAATGAATATTAAATATTCAGTGTTCAGTTTAGGGAACAAAATGGGTAGAGATGAAGGAGAAGGATTAGATATCCCAAATGCACCCCTCAAGTTAGCAGAGAAAAATACAGTTAGAATTTGATAAACTATTAAATATAAAGTCAGACGTGTATCTTAGTTCTATCTTCTCTAGAGCAGGACAAAAATGTTTATTTTTTGTTTATTATGTCCTTTCCACCAAATCTGCACAAATCTGCACTCATGACAGCCAGAGTGGCTGCTTTGTGACCAAGTAGAGTTCATTGTATATATGCTTTTCAGGCTGGAATCAAGGACCATTATCTTCATGAACTCACTATACACCTAACATGTCATGATCCAATTGCATAACTTGAGGTAACAAAATGAGGGGTGAGGGTGAGTGGGTCCCTAAAGAAAGCAGGCTATGGCGACCAAGAGTAAAAGGCTTGGTGGTTATTTTGCTCCAGCAGATGGGTCAATAAGTACAGACCCCAATTACCAGAGACAAATTTTACACAAGTCCAAAATGCAGAATTGGGAACAAAATCTGCTATTTTAACATTACATTAAATAAAAAATTTAAAAGCAGTGTTGAATAAGCACAAAACACAAAATACACGATCGCTTCACTAATGAACGTTTTTTTAGGATTTTCTAACATTTGCTCATTCCTTAACCCAGAGAATAGCTGTTTATGAAATACAACCTAAATGAAAGGGCATCACAAACACCCAAGAAACTTCACATACACTGTGGTGAAATATGTGTACAAAGGTCAGGAGGCCCTGGATCCCCAGGGATCTTAAAATGTTCCAAAGGATAGAATGTATGAAAGAGGACCATAAAGAAAGGTTTCTGAAGACCGAGAAACACATTTCTTACCTCAAAGTCAATGAGCTGTAAATCAGCTACCAGAGTGCTAAGGAGTCCACTATTGTACAGCTCTTGAGCCAGCTGAGCTACGGCTTCTGTCTGAGGTTCTTTTTCATTTGTGCCGTACAGAATTTCTTTCATGGCAACCAAATTTTTGGAAACTTCTTCTGTAGCCTGATTTTGGGAGGAAGGTGTAGAAGAGAAAAACAACTCATTTTAACAAACACATATATATCACATCTGTGTTAGCCAAAATCCATTTTCTGTATTATTTACTCTCAGACCTGTGTGTAAGCTCCATCTCTGTCCTCAGGAGCTGGATACTGTACATGTGTATACGAGAGAGAGAGAGAGAGAGAGAGAGAGAGAGAGAGAGAGAGAGAGTACACTCCCCAAGAAAGGGAGACTTGCACAGATTATAAAATGGAACCCCAGCTAACATACAGTAGAAAAGGAATGATAAGACTAGTTTCCTCCTCAAGCTCAGAAAAGCACTATGGAAGAGGCGTGTGTGTGTGTGTGTGTGTGTGTGTGTGTGTGTGTGTGTGTGTGTGTGTGTGTGTGTGTATCTCTAACCATCAAGTGTCAGGGATCTAGAACAGTACAAAGCAGAGATAAGGGAAAAGTACAGGGTCTGTATTGTATTATAGTTTGAATCTGAAGTACCCACAAAAGACTCATAGATGGAAAGCTTGGTTGTAGTTGATAGACTTTGGGGAAATGACTGGATCGGAAGGGCTCTAATCCACTGATGAATTAATAAGCTGATGGCATTGTTGAGAAATTAAGGACTAGTTGGGGGAAGAAGGTTACTGGGAATGTGCCCTTCCCCTAGACCCATCTTCTCTTACTGTTTGATTCCTGGCTGCCACAAGGTAGGCAGTTTTCCATCAAGGTCATGTTTCTGGCTTGTCTCCATGACTAAAAGCAATGGACTTCTGAAACTGTAAACCTGAACTGGTTAATTTTTTGTCAACCTTACACAAGCAAGAATCATCTGGGAAGAAAGAATCTTAATTGAGAAAATGTTTCCATTTCACAGGTCCTTGATATTTTTTTTTGATTAATAATAGATGTAGGCAGCCCACTGTGGGTGTGGTATAAGAGTAAACTGAGCAAACCATGAGAAGCAAGCCAGTAGCAACATTGCCCCATGGCCTCTGCTTGAGTTTCTGCTCTGATTTCCTTCATGATGAACTGTAAGCTGCAAGATGAAATAGTCTTTCCTCTCCAAGTCACAGGGCATCAAGCAGAACACTCAATGTGGTTTATACCTCAATAGTTACACAAAGAAGCCTAGCCTACATTCTGATTTCATCTTACCCAACAAAGCTTAACATGAAGCTCAGATAGATATCAAAAATACAAGCAACCAAAAGAAATGACACTGATTAACAGAATGTTAAAAAAAATCTCTAACTATATGCTACACATTTAAGAAAAACCAAGGATATTAAATAGAGCAACTGAAGATATGAAGACTTAGAAATAGAAGCTATAATATTTGAGGCCAAAACTAGAGTGGATATCAACAGCAAAGAAAAACTTTGCAAAGATGAGTAGTAATAACTATCCAAAAACCATGGAGGGTCAAATAGAGTAGGATACCACATTTGTGAGCTTTAGAGTGACTTAGAGTAATATATAACTATAGGCAGGGCAAAGGGCAGGCAAAATATTGGGAAATGTGATGAATGAAAACAATTCTGAATTTGCCAGGTACTCCTTTAATCCTAGTACTTGGGAGGGTAGAGCCAAGAAGACGTCTATGAGTTGGAGACCAGGCGTCTCTACATAGTTCCAGGATAGTGAGGGACCGTCTCAAAAAAACAAACAAAACAAAACAAAACAAAAAAACAAAAACAAACAAACAAAAAACCACCCAAAATCAAAAAATATAAATTTTATTAAAATTGCCAAGACAAATACCGATAAAAGGCAAATAAACTCAAGAATAAGAAAAACAGGGATAAGGTGGCTGGAGAGATGGCTCAGTAGTTAAGAGCACTGCACTGGCTGCTCTTCCAGGCGACCAAGGTTTGAGTTCCAGCCCACACATGTATTCAAAACAGTCTGGCAACTCCAGTTATAGGGAACATTATGCCCTCTTCCAACCTCCTGGGCACCAGGCATGTATGTGGTGTACAAACATACATGTAGGCAAAATACTCACACAAATTTGAAAAAGCAAAAAAAAAAAAAAAAAAAATTTATTTTTTTAAAAAGACTATATGGAGATTAAGAGCTAAAGAGATGGCTGTGGTTAAATACATTTGTTGTGCAATAATGAGTTCAGATCCTACCACCTACATTATGCCTCTAACTCCAACTTAGAGGATTTCAACATCCTCTTCAGGGTTCCACATGTTCACATGAGTTGTGGGATATGTGTACACTGTGTGAAGATGTATTTGCTGTGACTGGTGTAATAAAAAACTGAATGGCCAATAAATAACTAGGTGGGAGGTATAGGTAAGATTTCCTGGGAGAGAAAGAGGTGATGAATCTAGAGACTTCTTGACAGAAACTACTAAGTCAAAAGATACTGGAGACTTGTTTGAACTATTGAGAAAACATACAACCAAGCTATCATCCTAGAATTTTATACTCCAATGAAAATGTTTCATAAATAAAGATAATTCTACATAGTGAGACCCTGTTTCAAAATAAAACAACAAAAAACAAAACAAAGAAAGTGAACCTTTGAGATGCATTAAAACTAAAAGATTCAAATGAGAAGAAAAACGTGAGTAAATACGAAGTTTTCCTTCACTATCAATTTAAAGAAAATTTGGTTATTTAAAGCAAAAATAATATAGTCTAAGGTTTTGAATGTAGAACTAAAAATACATGACAGAAGTAACTCGAGAAGTAATGGAAATAGAGTGTTGTAAGGGGCAACCAATGCAATATCCTATTTCCCAAAGAGAGACTATTAGAAGCTAAAGATGCTATTAACATATGCCTTACAGCAAATACCTAGAAAAACCCCACACAGATGAAGGTGGTAGCAAATGCTTATGATCTATGACTTGGGAATCCATGGCAGCAGGATTCAGAGGTTTAAGACCAGCATGAGCTATACAGTAAATTCAGTGCTAGCTTATATTATTACATGGTGTGAATCTATCTCATTAAAAACAAGCAAGCAATCAAAAACCAAACCCATCAAAATATTGTAGAGCTTACTATAGATCAGCAAAGGTGAATTGAATGGAATGAAGAGTAAAACAGGAAAAGGCAGTAAAAATCTACCTAAAGAAAGAAATAAGAAATAAACCTGGGGTCTGAAATAACTCAGATTTATAGGACACCTACCTATATGACAGTATTAGGAAGAATTATCCAGTCCACGAAATCCCTTTACAACCAACAATGAACATCTTACCAAATGATCACACAACATCACCTTGAGTATTCCCTCTGGCAATGCTGTATTAGCAGATCTCAGAATCAGACAAACATGGACTCACTGCTATTGTCTGATGCCCCACCCAGTAACTTCTCTCCTATTTAAAGAGTTATTTGCAGGTAGTACCCACCTTCCTTTAAATAATCATCTCCAGAAATCTCTTCTCAACTTTGTGAATTACTTTTCTAAGAAAGGGAGGGTAATAAATATACCAGCCCTGCCTAGATGGAATGATACTGAAGATCCTGCACATAGCACTGCACTGCTTTCCTGACAGATGCTGACACAGCTTAAGAATCTGGGCAATCACAAAATGAAGGGAGAAGAAGTTAGCACAGAGTGAATCTCTTTGACAAAAAAGTGAAAAATGGGTAAAATATCTGAATGGCTGGGGATGTGGATCACTTGGTAGATGCCTGCCTACTGTGCATGAAGCCCTGGGGTCCATACCCAGCCCCGTGTAAACCCATAGAGGTATCCATATGAGGTGCTCCTTATTAAGGCCAACTGAGTGCATGAGAGTGCACTGTAAGGCTTTCACTCTCCCCACATCACCATGCAATTGTAGTATCAGCCCAACACCTGGCTGTATAGACAACTCTGTGTTCTGAAGGATACCCAGTAAATTGCCTATTACATTACTCTCACAGTTGAATTATGTCTAGTTATACCCCTGTGACCTGCCTAAATTGCTAACCAAAATGATTAACAGGAAAGAACCACAATTGGGCCTACCATCATATCTTTGAATTACCCCTCTTTTCAGTAATGATGTAATAATTTTTGGGTGTAGCTACTCAGCACTATTTGCACATTATATTTGTAAAGATTTTTGTGTGATATCTTGATAAAATGGCATTTCTTTCACATTTTCTGACTATAAAAAAATAAAGTGAAGTTAACTTAGTAAAATCTTTTCACTAAAGCGTTTTGACTAAGAGCAGTGGTGCATGCCTTTAATCTTGGCAGAGGGAGGCAGATCTCTTTGAGTCTCAGGCCAGCCAGGGTTATATAATGTGACTCTGACTTAAAAAATAATAATCAAACATATTCTGATTTCTAAGGCTTTCCCTCCTAAATGGTTACAAACTGCCCTTTATCAATCCTACTATGAAATCTTAAGTATCTATGTTCAGCAGAGTTTACCTTTTCTGGCTCAGTATCTACCTTATTATCTATAGTACTTAGATTATGAGTAGTTCAACATCTCATATGCAGTAAGGAACCCACAAATGTAATTTTTCTGGACCAAGGGGAAATCATTTAACAGCAGGACTGATTCTATCATAATCTGTTTATATGCACTGTCTTTTCAGATCCATCTTATTAACCTTTATTCCAAATGATTCTCACTGTCAGGAAAAAAAAATTCTGATACTTCACTAGGGTTTTTTAGTGTGTCACCTGGTGGTTTTATGCCCATGATTCTAAATGGCAGGTCTCCTTTGGGTTCTGGTTAGGCTCGAGTTTTGACCCTCTTAGGAACTCTTAGTTTATCCATTTTGAAATTGTTAGGATTTTAAAATATGAATTCAGGTCAGATAACCTTTCTTCTGACAGTAACAGGTGTCTAAGAGAGGAGTAATGGCTAAAGGGCAAGGGTTTCATTTTGAGGTGATGAAATGCTCTAGAACTAATTGTAGTTATGGTCACATATATCCATGATTAAATTAAAAGGACGTGGAATTTTAACTTTGAAAATGTGAACTGCACAGCATGGAAATTCTACTGCAATAAAGCTATCTTTACACAAGGGAGGGAGGAACAAACCAGAAAGTTTCCTTTTCAGAAGATGCACACTGTG